GTGTTTACTAGCTGTTATTTATCAACATGAGACTGAGTTTAGGATGAAAATCATCCTGCAGGTTTTATTAGATAGATATTAAAAGTAGCAAATCGGAAAGATTTTACAAATGGAGGAAGACCACTTTTGAGCGATGCAAGTGTGTGGTGGACTCCTTGGCTTGTCTCCTTTCACAGATATTTTCTGAAAAGAGATGGGAAGGGCAGAATGAAAGATGGCAGCACTGTGGATCAAACAGTTTCACGTTTTACCTGTAGTTGTGGTTTGGGTGTTTCAAACATCTGTTTGTCCTGTCTCTTAGTATAAAACCTTAAAAGGGATGTTATATTTTCCCAGGAGATATCTTTGTGGTAACCTCAATTTTTCTTTTTCAACTGATGTGGACAATCTCTACTTATTGTCTCAAATTTAACATAAAGAGAAGCCTTTACTCAAGCAGAAAGAATGCGATGAATCTATAGTTGTTTCTGTCTCTGGGGAGTAAACTAGTCATAGATGCATGTATTTCTCAGTGTAAAGAAAAGTTAATGGGAGTGAGTAGGAGGAAAGAGAATATTTACATTTGTTACAACTCAAAATGTATATAATAAAATATCATTACTTTGCAACTGCTTAGATGATCTATCCCAGAATTGTTGCTCTGGGGATCACTTTAGATCTAAAGATAGCAAAATCTGTTAACTTCTCTTGGAAATTCAAGAGGTGGTTTCAAGGATGTGTAACTGGAAAACTGGGAGTAAACAATTTAGGTTTTGTGTACAAGTTAAGTGATTGGTTTCTTTGTTCAGTATCCTACTCTCTCTCTTTGTAAAAATAATTTTCTCTCCTAGCTCATTAATAGCTTCATTATTGGTGTTCTGAGAGCATATTCTTTAAAAATCAGTGTATGGTTGTGGTGATGGATGCACCACTCTGAAAGTACTAAAAACCATTAGCTTGTACACTTTAAATGGATTAATTATATGGTATGTGAATTATATCTCAATAAAATGGTTATATTAAAAAAATCAATGTGTAGTTATATTTGCAGATATTGTAGGGTTTTTTTTTTTTTGGTAGATTTACCCAAAAAAAGTAAATGTTCTTCATGACCTCTTCGGTAGTAAACATTTTTATTGAAAGCCCCTTTTGCATAAAGCACCTTTCCAAGCCCTCACCAGCTCAGGGGAGTTGCGGTGGCTCTTTCCATCTGTGCACATTCGGACGGCTCTCGCAGGGCGAGTGTTGGGGGTCAGGAGGCTGTGCCTTACTACGTCCACACGCTTCCCCTCCTAGCGTTTGACATGGGTGCTTACCAAACCTATGCATGCGGACTAGGCTTGTTTTTGTAATGAGATCATTTAATTAAATTTTTTAAATAATCCATTTATATATGGGTTCTAAAAGAAAGAGTTGTTTTTGTGAAAAGAAAATTGTAGACTTTGGAGAGACTAGATAAAGGTAAGTTGCTATGAATAAAATTGATGTTGAATTAGGCATGAGAGAAACAATTGTAAAAGATTTGGGGGAAAATCGTCAAAACTTAGATGTGTATTTTAGTCAATATACTCAGGATACAGTAGTGTACCCCCTTATCTATGGTTTTGCTTTCCGAGGTTTCAGTTACGTGATCAACTGTGGTCCAAAAATAGCACTGTGTCACAATGCCTATGTCATTCGTGTCACTTCATCTCATTGCGTAGGCGTTGTATCATCTCACATCATCACAAGAAGAAGGATGAGTATGGAACAAGAAGGTATTTTGAGAGAGAGACCACATTCACATAACTTTTATTACAGTATAGTCTTAAATTGTTTTATTTTATTATTAGTTATTGTTGTTAATCTCTTACTATGCCTGGTTTATAAATTAAACTTTATCATAGGTATGTATGTGTAGGAAAAAACATAGTATGTGTAAGGTTTGGTACTATCCACTGTTTCAGGCATCCACTGGGGGTCTTGGAATGTACCCCCTATAGATAATGGGGGACTATTTTACTCACAATGATCTTAAGTCCTCTGAAACTGGAAATCATAGGCAATCCAGTATGGATGGCTTGTGTAAGAAAAGTTTGGCAGCTGACTATACATATAAGTTTAAGTTACAATTAGATTTTTTGTTTGTTTTTGTTTTATTGTTTTCTGAGGAGATCAGCCCTGTGCTAACATCTGCCAATCCTCCTCTTTTTTTGCTGAGGAAGACTGGCCCTGGGCTAACATCCGTGCCCATCTTCCTCCACTTTATATGGGACGCCGCCACAGCATGGCTTGCGAAGCAGTGCATTGGTGCGCACCCGGGATCCGAACCGGCGAACCCCAGGCTGCCACAGCAGAGCACACACACTTAACTGCTTGCGCCACTGGGCAGACCCTACAATTAGATATTTAAGGAATGTATATGGCACTTTTTTAGAATTTTTCGCTTTAGTTAACCTTTCTGATTAACCATCAAATGAATGGTTCCGGGAACATTGAATACGAGGGCCTCTACTATAGGATTCAGAGGCACAAACAGAAACTTACAAAATGTAGTAAAGTGATAAAGGAGGTTAGAATTGACAGATGGGAATGGGCTGAAGTTACAAAGTGTGTATGTGTGTGTGTGTGTGTATGTGTGTGTAACAGAAAGAGAGAGAGAGAAGAAACAGGAAATAAAACTAAATTTACCTATGTTGATATTTATGTTTCCATATTCTTGCTATCCATTCACTAGTACTGACTTCAAAGCTGATGAGCCTGAGAAAAGTAATAAAAGATGCTCATTCATTAATCCAACAAACTCTGATCTGACATCCACAAAGGACCATACATTATAGTCGTTTATGGAGATGTGAACACAAATAAGATATGGTCCCTCTCTATGCCTTTAATGTCTTTATTTAGTACATATGTAAAAAGAATGCAATTTTTTGTATTCTTTAGTAATGCTGTGACTATTCAGTCTCATACTTGGTTCTTAAAGCAACAAGTTCTCTTATGCTCTCCTTACTGGAAACTCTGACTTTAAATTCCACATCTCCCAAAAGAAAGGATACTTCTCTTCCTGTATGGCAGATTAATACTTTATAATTATCCCTATATTGTGTTTCTTTTTTCCCTTGGTTTTACAGACAGGCACACAGGACAGAAAGCATCAAATTAGGCATCAAGAGACGTAAGTTCTCATTACAACTCTGCTCCTAAGACCCTGAATGACCAAAGGCAAACTGAGGCCCGCCTCTAAAAATAGGACTGGAAAGCAATTGGAATATATATTCTGTAAGATTGTTTCCAGTGCTTGGAATATCTGAGATTGTTCCGTCTCTTTGATTTTAATATTTTCAATGGGCTTAGAGTCCCTAATGGGCATGTAAATAAAGCATGAAATTTAGAACATATGCATCTTTCATTTAAACAGATTAATACAAAGTGCATTCTAGAATGTAAGCTCCATGAAGTTAGGGACCCTGTTGGTCTCATTCACAGCTATACCAGGACTTAGATAAATATTTTTTTAAGAGTGAGTACATGTATCTTAGAAATGTGAATGGAGAGGGAAAATAAGAAAGAAAACTTTAGATCTCAAAGAAATTCCAAAATAGGGTTCTAACTATTGGAAGAGTAATAGCTTGAAGTAGGAAGATTGGAAGACAGACTTTTGCATTTTATTTTGTTTTGTTTCCTCAAAGTATAGGACAGCTGTGGAAGATTTTAGGTTAGGAGAGAGTATACATGTAGGAAATCCATTCATTTATTCAGTAAGTATTTAAGTAACCTCTCAGTATTAGTGTAATGGCTATCAAACTTTTTGATCTCATGACCCCTTTGCACTTTCAAAAATTATTAAGAATCCAAAGAGCTTTTGTTTATATGGGTTATATCTGCTATGTACCGTATTGGAATTGAAACTGAGAAATATAAAATTTTTAATTTGTTAATTCATTTAAAAATAACAATAAAAAACCCTTTACATGTTGACATAAATAACCTTTTTTATGAAAAATAATATATTTTCCAAAACAAAAAAAGCTTTGTGAGTTGATGAGCATTGTTTCACACTTTGGCAAATCTCTCTGATGTGTGCCTTAATAGAAGACAGCAGGATTCTCATATCTGCTTCTGCAGTCGATCTACTGCAATATGCTGTTTGGTTGAAATATATGAAATTATGGAGAAAATCTAGCCTTACACAGGTATGGAGTTGGAAAAGGGAGGCCCTCACAGACCCCGTGAAGAGTCTCAGGAACAATCATGTGTCTTCAGGCCACACTGTAAGAGCCACTGTACTTGGGAATGGTGAAACATGAGCAATGAATTTTCTTTGTTCATCAAATATTTCTTAAGTGCGTACCATGTGCCAGTAAATAGGAGAAAATAATCTGGTAGGAGTGAAGAGTTTGGCGGTTGAGACTTGAGTTGGAGTTTGGAGTTTCTTTTGACGGCCTGTATACCATATCGGGGGCAGGGGCCAGTACAAAGGATGAGAGGGAATAATAATACAGAGGAGAGCTGATTGAAATACAAGCCAATACTTGTTAAAATGGGTTGCTGCATTGGATCCTAAGAAGCAAAGATAGAGGAGCAGCTCCTCCATCTCAATGTAGGAATAGACTATTTCTAGTACTAGAAGAAGGTATTGATGTCCTATTTTTAGTAAAAGGTGTTGGGGGCTCCTTGACAAGTAAGAAGCAGCCCAGAGTGGAGGCAAGTATGTGGATTCCTGTTGTTAGAGAGATGAGAGAATCTATAGCTATAGGTTCAGAGAATGTTGCCCAGTGTGACTATGATTCCATTAGGAAGGTGTGATGTGAGTCTGGGAAGGAGCCACCTCCAGACCAGCCACCTGGTGTACAAGGTGGTCAGCATTCATTGTTAAATCCATGTGTGTTTACAATCTTTCAAATAGATTGTCTTTCTTGACCCTTCCAGGATTCTTCCACGAGGAGAGAGAACAAGTAGAATGTTAAATACATATATTAAGCCTTTGTTTATGTTATGGTGCCTTGTTTCTGATTGCTTTTCCTTTGCTTTTTTTTCAGACCATCCAGACCTTTCAAGTTACCAAAAAGGTAAAGTAATCTGGATCATCTTATTAAATAATAAACTTACTTGCATGCTTTTCTGCTTCTAGTATTTTCTCCACATTTTGCTGCTGTTTCCACCTTCCTTGCTCATATTTTTGTGAAGGAAAAATAAATTTCCCTTGAGTTGACTGCTTGAGGAATCCTGTATCTCCAAAAGTGATTTTAATCTCAAGGTAGATTTTATGCCTTTAAATTCTATTTGCGTTTAATCATTTATATTTGCCTAATTATTTTGCATTCCTTCCTGTAATGGATTGGCTTCTTGGTGTCTTACTCATTGAGGAGAGAGACACTGTTCTGCTTGAATTCATGGCAGTTTATTTCAGATGGGTTGTCTGTGTTTCTTTCTAAAAACTTGTTACTGTAGTAAGATGGAGGTATTCTTGTAGGTAGAAATTTTTAAGTTTTATCTTTTCAGTAGAGAAGCAAAATTTTAAATGGATAAGAGTTTCTGAATAAAAGCATTGTCTCATCATATGTCCTTGTACATTGTGGTTCCAGATATAATAATGTTACACCTTAAGGAACTCTTAAGTGATCTTTGAAATTCACTTACTACAGAAGCGCAGATGCTGATAACTCTGAAGCCTGCCTCAGGAGGGTTATTATCTCTTTGGAGTAAAATTACTACACAAATTTTAATCAGTAAATTCCTCTTCCATTTTTAAAAAATTACTTTTTTAAAATTGTGGTAAAATATAGATGGCATAAAATTTACCATTTTAACCATTTTGGAGTGTACAGTTTTGTGGCATTAAGTACATTCACATTATTATGCAACCATCACCATACTCCATCTCCAGAACTTTTTTCTTCTTGCAAAACTGAAGCTCTGTAACCATTAAACAATAACGCCTCATTCCTCCCTCCTCCCAGCCCCTGGCAGCCACCACTCTACTTTCTGTCTCTGTAAATTTGACTACCATAGATACCTCATATAAGTGGAATCATACAGTATTTATCCTTTTGTGACTGACTGATTTTGCTTAGCATAATGTCCTCAAGTTCATCCATATTATAGCATGTATCAGAATTTCCTTCCTTTTTAAGACTAATATACAATTGATGACACTATGTTTATCTATTTTTGAAAAAAATTATGGAAAAAGGTGAAGGGAAGAGGTTATGTAAGTAAATATGGCATATTAAGAAAATGAGTTTCCATTTTCTAGAAATAATGAGGTCTTCTCAAATGACTACAAATTTTGCATTTTGGAAATATTCGTATATATTTTTTCTCTGTTAATAGATTGATATTTTTAAAAGTCTTAATTTCTTCTTTTCAGTATATACACACATAAATACAACTTCTTCAAAGAAGCCTTTACTGATTCCCCTTTCCCACCCTAACTGGAGTAATCTCTTCCGTCGTTGAATTCACAAGACATTTTATATGTATTCTTCTAAAAACACATCTCTTTTTGCCTGATTTTGTAGGTATTTGTGTACCTGTCTGATTTTCTAAATTAGGCTATAAGTTCCTTGAGGGCAAGCTCCACGCCTGCTGCTTTTATATTCCCAGAATATCCTACACCTTTACCATGTAATGCTCTTTGTCCAATGAATTTATTGCTTCACAAGGAAGAATGAGTTCTGTATCCTGTTTTCTTTTGTGAAATTTCTCAAGCTTCAGTCCTTCCTCCCACTAAATTGATAGTTGATGCCACTGGGAAAGTTATTAATCATCACGTTTTGAAATGCTTACCCTTAAAGGACATGAGAAATAAGGAAGATTTACAGGGAAATAGAAAGGAAGAAACCGAGGAAGAAGAGATTTCTAGAAAGAAAGGGCTAGCTAAAAGGGTTAAATATTGCTCAGGTCAGGGAAGATGAAAACCAAGACTAGGTGATTTTGGCCGTTTCAGAAGAGTCATGAGAACAAAAGCCAGACTACAGGGGGTTAAGGATTGGGTGTTTGGTCAGGACAAGGAGGCCTCAGGTCCTGGGCACTCACACTCTCTGAAGCAGGGATCTCTGCTCGGGAAGGAAGGGGAGAAAGAAGAGAGTTTCCAGAAAGGCAGCAAAGGGCAAAGGAAGAAACCCTTGTAAGCTGAAAGAGGAAAATTTACTGTGGAGGGTCTTATTATAATACGCATGGCCCATTTAAAACAGGCCCCCACGTAATGTCGTAATGTCGCTTGAGCATTAGTTAGCCCTGTAAGACACTTAGTTTATTTGTTTTAACAGTTATTTCTGATCTTTTTCCAGAGTAAACCCAAATAATAAGGTGGCTGGGAATCTATGAGTATATTTGAGGGACTTCCCATTGGATACTCATGAAAATTCCTGCATGGCGGTAACAACCTAGACCAGGTGCCAGGGAGCGTGCCCACTAACTCAGATCCACACTTCACCCATGAACAACACATTTCATTCACCCGCTAATTCTGTTTCCTCATCCTATAAAAGGAGGATGCATCCTTCAGATCTGTGTACTATTTGGGACTTAATCTATTGAGAGGATGGTGGGAACTTTTACACAGCAGTGCCCTGGATAGAGCTGCAGGCCTTAACCTAGGCAGCTGGTACAGCAGTAGGGCCTCAGGGAAAACTGGCACCTGGTTATTCCGTGGAAAATGACTGCCTGCTGTAACCCAGGTGTTACAGAGGCGGGTTGCATTTACAATTATGTTGTGGTGCTGCCTAAAGATTTCCAACATTAGAGCAGGCAGATGAAAGACAAGTATTATATGATATGCAGAAGAACATATTATAATAAAAGGAGAGGTCCTTTTGAAAATTCTTCTCATGCACATGTGGTTCACTTTTTAAAGAAAATAATGTGCAAGTTCTTTATTCTTTAAGCTTGGTTAGAATATATACCGTGAACCTAGACTCACCAAGAGTGGAATTAATGAAAAAATATAACAGTGAAATTTATAGGCCATTTTTAATTTCCTTTACTTCTCCAATTTTCCTGCTTTATTAGATTTTTATCTTTATATTGCAACCATTGTCTGGGTTTCATATTGTATATGAAAATTTTGTTTCCCATGTGGTGCCAGAGCTGTACAATATCTTAGCATAGATAGCAAGAAGAGCAGAAATATCCTCAGCAATATTGTGGTATTTTGGAGAAACACTAGTCTGAATAACTTGACTCAGAATAGTTGGGGCTTTCCCCCATGGAGCTTTATGTACTCAGGACGGTGATTCCATTTCTTAAGTGTGAGCAGTTGTCTCTAGGAAAGGTTAGCATGTGAAACATCTGCTGTGTGAGGAAGTGGAATTCTAATATAGTAAGGGTAAATGTGTTTGGAAGAAATGTGCTGAAATCACTAATGCCATAACGTTTCCATATGTAGTCAATGCACATATGTGGTATATAGCAGTGCTGTCAAATCAAAACCAAATGTTTTCAAAGGGAAGAAAAGCAATTATTGAATGAGGTTTTTAAGGTTGCTGTGCATGTGTGTGCAGATTTTTCAAGAAAACAAAACAAAAAGTCATTATATGGGTAAATTAAACCACAGCATGAAAACGAAGCAATTGGGGCCCACTGCCCTCTATTGATAACACGTTTGTAGGTAAAAATGCATGACTTCTGGTTCATTTGAAAGAAAATTGATCCCTTTAAAGTAAAGTATAATGAGTAATTTTGTCAGCCTGGGGCCATTTTCATTTCACAGGGCTGATATTTTAAAGGTCTAAAATGTAAAGGACTCTAAGTCTGAGGCAATGAAGAGAAAGTCTCAAATGTGCTATTGACAAAGGACTTTATTGCTTCAAAACCAGTTACTTTCATCTTAGTTTGCATTGGGTGGAGGAGGAAATAAAGTGTAGAGACTATAAGCATTGGGAGTGTTCTAGAAACAAGCAAAAGCTTCTGACCACTTGGTGTTTGCATTTGAACAAGCACAATCAGCGTATTGTGATTTATATGTTTTCATTACATTCAGAATTATTCTTAAAAGGTTATTTCATCTTATCTAGCATAATTTTTCCTTAATGAGTTTTGAAATCAGAATTTGCAGTCTAGTGACTAACGTTCAAACTTGAGGTCCTACAGATGTAGGTGATTTTGCGTAGAGAAGTTAACTATTACTGTGGCTTAGGAATTTAGTTTTTAAATGTGAATTTTGGGAAGCCTACATTTGTGGCAAGTTGACTTATTCCTGATGTCTTTTGTTTCTCTGGTGTTTGAAGCAAGAGATAGTATCACAGTGGTTAAGAAGCCAGACAATAGAAGCAGACTACCTGAGTTCCTAGCTTTGTGACTTTGAATAAGTTATTTAACCTCTCTGTGCCTCAGTTTCATCTCATAAAGTTGTTGTGAGAATTAAATGAGATGGTAATCTATATAAAACATAAGAGCAACTGATACTTCTCATAAGTGCAAACTACTATGCTTTATTTTCCTAAAATTGCTTTTAAAAGAACAATGAAACATGCCTGTGCAACTGCTCACTTAAAGCTTAATTGTGTTATATTTTAATTTCCGTATTAAAATTTAATTTTAAATATCGTCACAAAGCTAGATCTATGAAGTTGAGAGATCAGAATATATTTCTTTTTCAGAATAACATTTAGAGCCACCAGCTTTATTTAAACTGCCAGCATGATTTTGAAGAAACAACTAACAAATATATGAGTAAAAAGCCTATTTCAAATGAGCCAGAAATAGCCATCACAGCAGCCAACTGAGCGAACATTGTTGAGAATCTGAGAGTAACTGTCCACAGTTAAATGTTTTTTTTTTCTTCTTATAAAAATTCAAGAAACCTGAAGTTGGCAGAATGTATTTAATTTAATTAATTAATTTATTTTGGTGAGGAAGGTTTGCCCTGAGCTAACATCGTTGGCAATCTTCCTCTTTTTTTTTTTCGCTTGAGGCAGGTTAGCACTGAGCTAACATCTGTGCCCATCTTCCTCTATTTTGTATGTGGGATGCCTCCACAGCATGGCTGACGAGTGGAGCAGGTCCACGCCTGGGATCTGAACCTGTGAACCTGGGCTGCCGAGTCGGAGCACACGGAACTTTCACCACTCTGCCATGGAACCGGCCCCCAGAATATATTTTAAATTTTAGAAAAGATCAGTTTAGTCAATTTCTATTGGGCACCCAGTTCATATCAGGGTCTGGAAGGGTCAAGATAGTAAGGCACGGTCCAGGACCTTGTGGAAGGGACACAGATACAGGTCTTTCAAAGATGGTTGAATGAGGATGTGAAAGGGCATCTGAAAGAAGGGGCTTGATGGTGGGATTTGGTAACAGAGAGGAGTCTCCGAGATGTAGTAAGAGACTACAGCTAGGCTATAGTTGTTGGAGAGTGAAGGGGTGGTAGGTACATGGGTGTTTGTTCATTTAGTCGATGGATAGTTACTGATCACCTTTTAAAAGGTACTGTTCTGGAGGCTGATACTGCACTAAATAAGTGAATAAAACAAAAATCTCTGCCTTCATGGAACTCCCAGTCTAATGGTTATATTCATTATAGTTTTAGGTAAAAGAAAAGTTACAGGTTTATCGGAAGTGTTTTGATAATTCTTAAGATTTACACTACATGAACCCGTTTATAGACTGAGTTCTTTTTCAAGAACTGATAGAGTAAAACTATGGAGAAAGGGAATAACTGGAGAAACAAAAGTTCTGGAAGAGAGGCAAGGAGGATGGATCCTCTGTTAAATTTGTTTTCCTTCCACTTAGGAAGTGTGGATTTTAGATCTTCCCTTTCCCAGGCGCACACGTAGATATAAATTGTTATTTGTGAGAAACGGATGTTATTCTGACTCTCAGTAGCCTGTGGCACGTGACCACTGCTACTTTATCTCAAAAGTGAGAGGACAATGGTCTTGTAATTTTCTGCTACAATTCCATGTAAGTACTTAGTCTCATTAGATCTTTTATTGATAAGTACCTGTACTTGATCTGAAATATCAGGATTTAACAAATTGCTGTCTTAGGTAGCAAAAAATGCTACATTGCTTCTAAGAGGCCTTCTTTGTAATTTCTCCCTGCTCCTGCAGTTATGCGGCCCTCATAGCCGATTGGCCCGTGGTGGTCTTGGGCATGTGCACTGTGTTCATCGGGGTCTGTGCCTTGGTTGGAGTCATCGTGCCAGAGCTCCCTGACTTCTCTGATCCATTGCTGGTAAGGATAACGGAGCCAGTAGAATCTGTTTCTCTGTTTTCTTTAGCCCCAAATCGTCTCAAACAATTAAATATTTTAATACATGCTGCGTCATGTTATTTAGTATCCCATTTCTTTTAAAAACTTCTCAAGCCATCAGTAAGTATACAATTCTCTTTCTGAAATGTGAGGACATGTTTTATCTGTATTCTCAGGTTCTCAAAAGGTCAAGGAACTTGTTTACCATCAAAAATCTGGAAATTTTGCTTCTCGGTCCCCATGTTTATGCTATGGGGACCATAGCAATGAACTGGAGAATCTGCATACTATAAGAACATTTTCATGAAGTCTTTAAGACTGAATGTCTCTTTTTCCCCAAAGAAGATAAAGGAATTTCAGTATTACTAAGAGGTGGCAGGGTCTGTTTTTAGTAAATGTTCCTCTGGAGTGGAAAAATGGGGAAAATGTGAGCAAGGATAACACTATACTCTTTGTAAAACTGTAACATACATAACATAATTTGACCATAATTTTTATAACATAAAAAATAAGTATTTACTAAATGCTTAGGTTTGAATTTGAAAGAGAAGCTTCTGATAAGTTTTTTTCCTCTTTCCTGAGACATGTACCATACCAAGAAATCATAGTGTTTTCTCACAGTAAATAGGTGATCATTATTATGTCAAATCATCTTGTTTTAATGCAGTTCACCTCTGGAGTATCTGTGAGGAATGTCTGTATTTTCTGTTGAAAGCCATACATCACTTGATGTTGCTTTCCCAAGCTGTTGTAGCTATACTTAGCCTGCAATGAAGTACACTAATGGGTATTTGTAATATTCTGCCTTAGGGTTTTGAACCACGAGGGACTGCAATAGGCCAGAGACTGGTCACTTGGAATAACATGGTGAAAAATACAGGCTACAAAGCAACATTAGCAAATTATCCCTTTAAATATGCAGATGAACAAGCCAAAAGGTAATCATTTATTAACTTTTAGACAAAACATTGCTTAGTGAATTCCACTTTTAAACAGTGCCTGAGCAAAAAGATTAAATGTAAAATGTGTCTCGAAATCTTTGCCACTGAATTGGTTTAAATTGTGATTGTCTTTTAAGATTTAATTGTATTAGGATGAAAAAGTGAGGATTTGGGGGTTTTTTTCTTTTTCAAAAGTGAAAAAATTAATGTTGATTGCTTAGATTAATCTTTCCGACTTAATATCAAGTGCTAAATAGGTCGTGATTTTGAGGATGTCCTGTTATGATAAGCTCGTCGGCCTTGAAATAGCTGGTACTTTGTTGAAGACCAAATTGTTGTTCCATTTCAGCCATCGGGATGATAGATGGTCAGATGATCATTATGAAAGAGAGAAAAGAGAAGTTGACTGGAACTTCCACAAGGACAGCTTTTTCTGCGATGTTCCAAGTGAGTGGCATCAATGATGAACAAACCCCTCAGTGGTTTCCTAGCGCTTGAGTTTGAACATGATTATGATGTATACTGATAAGAATATATGACTACTCACACAGCTTTACTGTTTCTATTGTGCTCAAAGAGATTTTGAGCTTAATGAACTTGTAATTTTACTTCGCTAGATCAGTCAACCACTAATATGAATTTATTTACCTGTAATAAAAATTAATGAAAAGAAATGATTGCGTTATGTTGAGTTTTAAAGACGATATAAATTTAATAAAATTCTTGACCTTGCCCAAAATTTTGTCATTTTTAAAATTCCTTTTACTATTTTTTAAATATTCTAGATCAAGTAACAGGTAGATATTTCTAGATTGAACCCTGAAATAATCTACTGTATTCAAAAATATATTTTTTAAATTTTGATTCATTCAAAAAGCATATATCTTAAACTTTGATTCATTCAAAAAGCATATATTAATTCGTCAAAAAGCTTCTATGTGCCTGCTTATCGTTAGGCATTAGAGACAGGGAGATGGACAAAATAAAGTCCAGAGGTCCAAAGCTTGAATCCTCGGGGACCTAGCTCATCCTATAGATGAGGGAAGTTAGCGGGTGTCAGACAGTAGGAAGTGATGGTGGTTGTGCAGCACTAAAAAGCACCTGCCCTCTGGAAAGAAATCAGCGGCTCCTTAGCTACAGCAGAATGTGGCCTTGAAAAAAAATGAGGACCCAAATATTGTAGGGACTTCTCAGAGGTCAGGAATCCAGATTTTAATATGGAATCATCAGATCTCTAAATGTTGGCAGCAAATTCACTAAACAAAATCTGCGGTAGCCCAGAGTCAGCCTAATCACTCTGCAGCTGCCAGGGAAGGAGTACATGGCCTAGAGAAAATACACATAAACCTGTGAGTCATTGATTAGCCCTCGTGATTAGGAACGAGGAATTGTGGGTAATTACAATTTCTGATTGAGTGAATATTAACATTAAAGCTCTTTTGGTTTCAGCTTTTTTTGTTGTTGTTGAAAATCCTTCTAAAATGTGTATTTTCCTATCTTATTACACTAGCGCATCTGATTGGATCTTTGATGTTTCTAGATCTTACCAAGCCTCAGGATCTTGATTTTGAACACTGTTTCACTACATAGTAATAGAGAGAGAGAAAGTAGGAGATTTGGAAGAGTCTTTAACTGATCCCAGGAAGCAATGCAAGTTTCTTTTTCTGTCTCTTAAAAAACATTCTAGAAAAGTTGAACTCTAGTTAGTTGCATGTTCAGGCTAGTTGATTTCTCTCCAAGTGTTACTATATGTTGCTTAAGCAACATCTGTTTAGTTAATATCTTAACCAGGAAGAACATCAGCAAATTCATGAAAAATAGTCTGGTTTATATTTCAGTAGTCAACACTCAGTATTGGTCTCAAAAGTAATAGACTCTGCCTGACTAAAGACGTTACCAGCTCTATGAGAATGAAATGTTGCATTTTCCACAAGGCTTATTTTGGTCTTCAAAATCAGTCAACATAAGAAAATAGCCATTTGATGAAGATAAGAGTTTTTTGAAAAAACTTCATGATCGTGAATAAAAGCTCATGTAATAAAGCTTTATTCATAAATTTGCAAACTGATTTTCTTTGTTAACACAATTAGGCATTTTAGATAATGTAAAACTAATCTACTTTGTTTTAGTTGGTTCATATCAAGTTTTTTTTTTATGACAGAGGAAGCAGAAACAGTACTTATTGAGCACCTGTTTTTCATTGTCTCGTTTAATTTTCCCACCTATTCAAGACAGGTGTTGCTGTCTCCATTTCACGGATGAGGAACCAAGGCTCAGAGAAGTTGTTAGTTGCCAAAAATCACCTAGCTAGTTAATGACAGAACGAGGTCACACCCAGTTCTAACTCCAAAGACCGTGCTTTTTCCAATATATAACACAGCCTCCCTTAGAAGGCTGACATATATAAATACGTCAGAAACGTATTTTGTATTAATGTGATTTTCAAAGTATTTTTTCTAGACTCTGGTGTACCAGAGAGACCATGTACTCAACGAAAATATGGAGAATGCCTATGATCCTGGCCAGCATTCTGTACTAAGTTTACTCTTTTTAGTGCTTATGAATTGATCACCTGCCGTCTTTCCTCTCTAGTTAGCTGCCAAAGAAAACATCCTTAATAATCTATTTGATAATCCCTAGTCCATAATTCTTTGATTTTATATACCATCATGGTGATGTGTTGTGAAATTAAGAGGAAGGCATTCAATTCATTTCCTGCTGAAAGTTCTTATGGATTGTTCTTCCTAAGTATAGTCTGATCAGAAGTAGATTTCTTATATAACTCCTATAATTTTTAAGATATAATGAGTAGACAAAGGCTTTGAGCTGGGGCAATATTATAGCATTCCTGTTTTTTTTTTTTACATTTTTTCCTGGAATTTATCAACAGAAAAGATTCCCTGCTGCTAATGAATTGTCCATTTGGTTTCCCAGTTTGAATTGTTTCTGAATGCTGAGTCTCATGAAATAAATGAATAATTTATAAACCTTTCTCTTTTCTTTTTTCATACCACTAGGTGACCGATATTCCAGAGTAGTGTTTACTTCAGCTGGAGGGGAGACATTATGGAATTTACCTGCAATTAAATCGATGTGCAATGTAGATAATTCAAGGGTATGTAAGTAAGACTGAAATACAATTAGCACAAATAAGGGTATGTTTTTGAAACTCCTTTTACTGCTGACACTGTTGTCTGATCAGATGAAAGTACTTAAGTGGCTTACCTACTGAGGAATAAACACCAGCAAACCAGCTTTGCTTTCTTTCAGATCCCAGGATCAAAGTGTCTCTGTGTTTCCCCACCTTTAAAACATACCATCTTCCTTAATAAAGAACTCTTTTTCTTTCCCACTCATGTTCTCGGTCCATGATAGTCTTTTGTATTATTTCACAACCTATTTTCTTTCAGGATAATAGTTAAGACTTTTTTCCTCTTTTGTTGTATTTTCTCTTTCCTACTCTGGTTTCATTGTTCACTACCTTTCCCCCGAGGCAATTGTCAGCATCTTAATTATGCGGTGAAATGCCCGCCTCTCTGGCAATCAATGGGTCATTTGGGCCGCTGGCAATCAATGGGTCATTTGGGCCGCTGACCTCGAAGGAAAATTTAGGTCACAGGCTGGGAAAGGGGACATCAAAGGGCATAAATACAGTATCTATGTAAATGGCCAGAGTAATCCAACCCAGATTGCCTTGAACTCTAAACACCTGGCTGCTTTAAAAGACAGAAGGGTACAGCAAGACAAGCGTTTCCTCTCTCAGTCTTCTCTCGAGCTAAAAAGATGTCCGCACAGAAAACGTAAAGTCAGCCTCTGGGCTTGCAAGAGCTGTCAATTTCACATGTTCAGAAGTAGTTTCTCCAAGTAGACACTGCTGTCTGGTGTCACTAATGGACCTGTCCAAGCACAGTAACCAGGCAGAAAAGGAACTCATTGTATTCTCAGTGTAACTCCAAAATGTAAAAGCCTTGGTTAGTTGAAAATCTGATGACATGCCCTGCTAAGAGCTAGCCTGAGTCCAGTGCAGTCACCTGTTCCATCGACAGGAATGGAATAGGAGGTACAAAAGACTCTGAGGTCACCCAGGCCAGCAGTCTCATTGTGCTGATTAAGTACCTTCCAAGAGCTAAGTGGCTTACCCAGGTCACCTAGTTAGTTGTTCCCAGATCTCCTGACTCTACTCCGTTCTTCACTCTGAGAGGCTGTTTACATGTTTTGAAAATAACTCTCCCACTGATTGGGCTATCAGGATTTTCTGTGAGTGCCATCTTTTCTCTGTCCACCTCCAAATAGACCGAAGTCACAAACCATCTCTAAACAGACCAAAGTTTCTTAATCAGTGGTCAATTTTTATTTGCCGTATTTTCTTCTCTTCTACCGCTATCATTCATTGTTTCTCCTTGTCATGGGTTACGACCCTTCTTATATAGAAAGTTAACTCTAAAGTAATAAATATGTAGAGTTCTTGCTATGTGCAAGCTTTATGCTAGGTACTTACATCTCTCACAGTGGGCCTGTGACCTTGGAATAACACCTTTTAACAGATGAGAAGTTAAGCCAGCCCGGTTACTTTATAATGACACCTTGGATGAGAACAGCTCATTAACTTCTATTCCTCTTGGTCCTCGTTATTCTACCTTTATGGTTGATCTCTAGACCTTCCCACCCCTGAGGATTCTGAAGTGACTGAATTCACGCAATTGATTAATAATACCTGATGTTTACTGAGTATTGTTGATATTTGTCAGGCCGTGTTCTAAACACTTTAATGAATTATTTAATCCTCATGACAGTGTTATGAATTAAGTGCTATTATTTTGCCCATTTTATAGAGGAGGAAGGTTCACACAGGTGGTAAGTGGCAGATGCAGGATTTGAACCCAGCCAAGTCTGGCTCCAGAGTCTGTGCCTTTACCCATCATCATGCTTTATGCTTCCATAATGCAGAAGATTCCCCCTGCCATTTTTGTTTTGTCTTGTCATACTGTATTTGCCATTTCCCACTCAAATGAACCTTAGAGTCATCATAGACTAAGAATAAGTACCTTTTTTCTAAAAAGAGCTAGCAATTGATTCTGTGAGCACATATGAAACTCTTAATGGACTCAAGGACTCAAAAGCCAGTAAGCGGTACTGTGCCATTATAGCTTTCATAAGTGACCGCAGTATATTATTTTATACATATATATCAGATGATACAAGTCAGCATCAATAGGTAGCTCACAAAAAGGCATACAGAAAAGATAAGATAAATAAGTTGAATGAATTACACGAAGGGAAAATAACAGAGCCAAGGATGAGATTTAACATACAGTAATGAGTATTCCATAATCTTATATGTTTGCTGGTGGTGAGCTGTGGACTTGTCTCTAACCCCCACTGGCAGCCATAGCAAAAAAGAATTCACCATCGGTGACAAAAGTCATATAAATAGGGTAACAAATTTGTTTGTTAGAAGAAACTGAGCTTTCTCCTTCATACTAAAGAGAGAACCATTCCCCACAGGCTGCATTAAAGAAGTGTGATGTTGTATACAAAGTTCTTAACAGCATGTTTACAAGAGGTACAGTGTTGAGTCTTAGCTGGTTTGTAAACCATATCTCAGGTAGGTTGGTACACAGTTCACATTTCAGATTATTACTGTACCTTTTTCAAGTCTCTCAACTCAAGACCCTTTTAGGATTTTTATTTGTTATGGTGGTTTGAGCAAACTGTGTCCCAAGGCTACTTGGCCGTCTTTGCCTTTTTTCCCCCCTCAAATCCTAGCAATTGTGCTTAAGCACTTGATTCTTAACAACGCTCAAGTTGAGTGGGACACACACCAAATGATACAGAGCAGAAGAGCTTCGTTGTCGGTGGGTTGACTGCAGAAAACGTCTGGTAATCAGTGTAATATCTCAATGAGACCGGATGTTTCAGTTGTCGCCTGCCTGTGTTTACAACACATTGAGTTCCCGCTCCAGATTCCATTTAAATTACATGCCACTTACCCTCGTGATTCAGACAGGCATGGCTTTCCCAAGGGAACAGCTTCTGTTTCTGATGCTGTTGTCTACCTCCTAACAGAAAGGCTTGTTTTCTTAGACTCTTTCAAAAGGAGCCTCACTTGACTTCCCGATCTTCTTCATCACTTTTTCTACCCTTTGACATCCTACAGGACGCGCTGGCAGATAGTCATGAGTAACCAGAAGTGTGTTTCTCCAATCTTGACTGCTGGAAACCGTTTAGTCTGTTCTTAGTCTTTGCACATTGTAGAAGTTGGAGCTCAGAGGAGTCAGTTTGTAAAAGGGATTTGAAATTTTGTGCCAAAGACCCTGTTTACTAGGGTAGCTTTTGTGGACAGCTGGAACCCTCCTGAAGCTTAGAGGATCCCAGAAATGTGCTTCCTGATGCTTGTTTTAAAGAGGACTGTGGAGGTCTTGCTTTTTCTTTTCTCTCTAGGCTGCCTTAAACTTTTAATACATGAGGAACTTGGTCACATGGGGAAGGAGAGTCCAGCAGTTCGTTGCACCTGGTATTAAGGGCTTAATTTTCTTCCCTGTATTCTTTTCTTATCCTCTCAACATATCTCCAACTTGGCCAACAGTTTTAAAAGCTAAGGTATCATTTAAAGCTCTGCTGGTTTCTTCTTTTTCTCTCTTCTTCCTGTACCCCCTATTTTAAGCCAACTCCACCCCTGCTACTGTCTAACTAGTGAAGGGTACAAAGACATGTTGTAACCACATAAGCAAAATGACTCCCTGAAACATCCAGTTTGTGAATACCTAGAATTAAAAGGGCCGTATTCCTCATGAGAGTTAAAAAAAATTGCTCTCACTAACTCTGTTCTTATTTTTATACACTTCAAAGATTTTGAAATCATTCCTGTGAATCCCTTGCTCAAAATATGGCAAAAATATAGCTGCCTTCTCCATGAAGACATACCAGCTTGCCAGTCTCTTTAAGCCCCACAGTATAATATATGTCTCTGTATTTAACTATCTCAGTCACAAACTACTAAGTTAGGGCTACTACCCCACTACACTTACAGACTTGCGCACTCCCTTCTGCAGGTTCGCATAGACCCTGACACATAATATGCTCCTTCTTGTGTTGAATTATAATTATTGGTATTCTTGTCTGATTTCCCTGCCTCACTGTGAGCAGCTCGAGGGCAAGGACCACTGTGCCTTATTCATCTTGTGTAGGTGCTCAATAAATATTTTTTTGTTTTGAATGGATGGATGGATGGGAACACATGGGCTTACTCCCAGAAAGCCTAGACAATTCCTCGCGTTCCATTCCTTTCAATTCAGGACACTGGCGTCCAATTCAGGGTCAAGAGTGCCAGTCACAATGTCTTTTCTCTCTCCTTACTTCTTACCCTGTAGAAGAGTCTTACAAAACTATTTTGCAAAGGTTGTACATCAGCCAGCACCACCTTTGAGTTTGAGGATTGGTTCTCCAGAGGCTCACCAGCGTTTATTTTTGATAGCAGCCATCAAAGTAGTATTTGGTCTGTGTTTATCATGTCCAACTTTTTAATCTTTGGTCAAATACACACATTAAAAAACCCTGCTATTATGTGGAAAGGTTATTCAAGGACAGAATTCTGTGCTTTCTTTCCCAGTTTGAGCTGGCACCCCTATTTCCTTTATCTTTGGCATTTGGTTGTTTCAGCAAATACAGATATGTTCTTTTCCAGCTGATAGTGGATTTCATAATGGATGCAATTCATTTTCTTCCATCTGAAAACTGTCAGGCATTGGGGTCATATTGGCTTTCTTTCAGTTCACCAGGCTGACCCCAGGGGCTTGCATATTATTTCTTTTTGGGGTAAAAGTGGTTATCTGCCATGAAAACCAGGGAGATGCTATTTCAGGTTTTCCTGTTATTTATTAGGTGGTTCAGTTTCCCTTGAGTTAGCGTATGTGAATATTTTTACCTAGAAACAATGAAATATTGATTATAGTATTTTATGAAATGTCAAGTAATTATTGCTCTTTAAAAATGAGCTTAAAAATTAAGCCTTTGCTAAAATCAATGTTATTTTAGTACACTTGAATAATAACCCTTTTGGCTCATTTTTCTTTACCCCCAATAGAGTTTCCTTAAAAATACATGACTTTTTATTATGGAAACTTTGAAACATATGCAAAAGTAGCGTAGTAGAATAATCCCCACGGGCAGGCCACCCAACTTCAACAATTCCCATACACGGCCAATCTTGTTTCATCCACACCTCGCCTCCACAGGATTAGTCCAGGAAAGTGTCTTGATAGCCAGGGCTTAGTGAGTTATGAGTAACTTGGTTCTTGGCTAAGTCTGAGTTCCAAAGAAATGATTTGTGCCAACTTCTCCTCTACTTTGAGAAGATATTCCAATGCATGATTGATAAAGCCTACTTTAATAAAGGTGAAGGGTGGTTTTAATCCTATTTAAAAAAAAAATACTCACACCCTTCTTGACTTTGGAGTTTCTTCCCTGGAAGCACCTTTGGTAAATAAAGATGAGGGAAAGTGATAGGAGTGGGTGGTCCTTTGCTCTGGTCCTTCCAAAGAGAAGTCTGTGGACAGGCTCAAGAGAAGGGGAATATTTCTTATTCTCATCGTCAAGGAAGAGGGGCCATTCATGTAATTTACAGATGTTTAAGGCAATGGAATTCTGTAGGCTTCACTACCATCTTAGCAATACCAGGTTTGGCATTGGCACAATTTTTCAGTTTTCTATAACAAGAACAGCCACAAGAAGAAAAGCCTTCTCCAGAAAGTGTTCTAAATGAAATACTGTCCACATTAAATCCAGAATTGTCATACTTGCTAATATGCAGCAGACCCCTGTTTACCAAAAGAGAAAGTTCCCCAAAAAGTGCTTTAGCCAACTTGAATAAACTTTTTTTTTTTTTTTGTGAGGAAGATCAGCCCTGAGCTAACATCTGATGCCAATCCTCCTCTTTTTTCTGAGGAAGACTGGCCCTGGGCTAACATCCGTGCCCATCTTCCTCTACTTTATATGGGACGCCACCACAGCATGGCTCGACAAGCAGTGCGTTGGTGTGCGCCAGGATCCGAACCGCCGAACCCTGGGCCACCACAGCAGAGCACGCACACTTAACTGCTTGCACCACCGGGCCGGCCCTTGAATAAACTTTTAAGGATATGGAAGAAATAATTAAATTCCTACTTACATATTTATTTTATTGAGTGTATATATTTATTTAAAATCAGATTACATAGTATTTTAATTTAGGAGCGTTGCCGTTTTCTACTCATATTTCAGGAAACAATTTTATTCCATGTCTTTCATGCATCTTTTGACATCTGTGCTTCTGGTATCACTCGAGTTGCTTTTTGATTCACTGACAGTTTTCTAGGGAAATCATCTTTGCCTCCAACTAAATTGATTGAAACAGTACCTTTGTTGCCAAAAATTTTATGCTGATTACTGGAAGTTTTAGGCAAAGCCACAATTGTGTTTCTTAAATCAATTGGACAATTGTTCTCTTAGTTAATCCTGTAGGTGTACATACATAAGCCTCATAGCCTGTCCATTTTATTGCTTTTTAAAGTGGCTTAGAAAAGCCTTGTTTACTTAAAGAAGTGCTAATTTTGTCTCCTTTTTTGAAACCAAACTAGCATTGATTGAAGTTATTTCACACTTGTGTGTCATCCGCTAACAGTAGTTTGTTGTTCAAAATAGCCTAGTGAGGACTCTGCAATGTAAGAGAGCTTTGGGGGGAAATCTCACCTTGTATTCAAACTGATGCCTAACTTAAGAGGATGATGATGATGTAACTTTGGTAACTTTCCCTGTCCCTCAAGGCCACTTAATTCAGACCCTTCAGTGAGCTGATTTTTTTTTTTTTTTTTTTTTTTTTTGTGGGGAAGGTCAGCCCTGAGCTAACATCCATGCTAAGGATGTTAGCTGAGGAAGACCGGCTCCGAGCTAACATCTATTGCCAATCCTCCTCCTTTTTTTTTCACCAAAGCCCCAGTAGATAGTTGTATGTCATAGCTGCACATCCTTCTAGTTGCTGTATGTGGGACGCGGCCTCAGCATGGCCGGACAAGCGGTGCGTCGGTGCGCGCCCGGGATCCGAACCCGGGCGGCCAGTAGCAGAGCGCTCGCACGTAACCGCTAAGCCACGGGGCCGGCCCCAGTGAACTGATTTTAAACGGCAGTCCTTCCTCATGTCTCTGTCTCCGCAGATCAGGTCTCACCCCCAGTTTGGTGATCTCTGCCAGAGGACCACTGCTGCCTCCTGCTGCCCCAGCTGGACGCTGGGGAACTACATCGCCATTCTGAACAACAGATCATCCTGTCAGAAAATCGTCGAGCGAGATGTTTCTCATACCTTGAAGCTGCTTCGGACCTGCGCCAAACACTACCAAAATGGCACTCTGGAGCCAGACTGCTGGGACATGGCGGCCAGAAGAAAGGATCAGCTCAAGTGCACCAACGTGCCACGAAAGTGTACCAAGTACAATGCCGTGTACCAGATCCTCCATTACCTGGTGGACAAAGACTTTATGACCCCAAAGACAGCTGACTACACCATGCCAGCGTTAAAGTACAGCATGCTCTTCTCTCCCACCGAGAAAGGGGAGAGCATGATGAACATTTACCTGGACAACTTCGAAAACTGGAACTCTTCTGATGGCATCACCACCATCACCGGGATCGAGTTTGGGATCAAACACAGTTTGTTTCAGGATTACCTTCTGATGGATACCGTGTATCCTGCCATAGCCATTGCCATTGTCCTTCTAGTCATGTGTGTCTACACCAAGTCCATGTTCATCACTCTGATGACAATGTTTGCAATCATCAGTTCCTTGATTGTTTCCTATTTTCTCTACCGCATAGTATTTAACTTTGAATTCTTTCCGTTTATGAACCTCACCGCACTCATTATTTTGGTTGGAATCGGAGCAGACGATGCTTTTGTCTTGTGTGATGTTTGGAACTACACCAAATTTGACAAGCCCCATGCAGAAACTTCGGAAACCGTGAGCATCACCTTGCAACATGCTGCCCTCTCCATGTTTGTCACTAGTTTTACCACGGCCGCTGCCTTTTATGCCAACTATGTTAGCAACATTACAGCCATCAGGTGCTTTGGGGTTTATGCGGGGACGGCTATTTTGGTGAATTACGTTTTGATGGTCACGTGGCTTCCAGCCGTAGTTGTGCTGCATGAGCGATACCTTCTCAACATATTCACTTGCTTCAAAAAGCCCCAGCAGCAAATATACGATAACAAAAGCTGCTGGACGGTAGCTTGCCAGAAGTGCCACAAAGTACTTTTTGCCGTCTCAGAAGCATCTCGCATTTTTTTTGAAAAAGTATTGCCATGCATCGTCATTAAGTTTCGCTACCTTTGGCTGTTCTGGTTCCTTGCCTTAACTGTAGGGGGGGCCTACATCGTGTGCATCAATCCAAAGATGAAACTACCCTCGTTGGAGTTATCTGAGTTCCAGGTCTTCAGGTCCTCTCACCCTTTTGAACGTTACGACGCTGAGTACAAAAAGCTCTTCATGTTTGAGCGTGTCCACCACGGAGAGGAGCTCCACATGCCCATAACCATTATCTGGGGCGTGTCCCCCGAAGACAACGGCAATCCACTCAATCCCAAGAGTAAAGGGAAGTTGGCCTTAGATAGCAGTTTTAACATTGCTAGCCCGGCCTCCCAGGTCTGGATTTTGCACTTCTGTCAAAAGCTGAGAAATCAAACGTTCTTTTACCAGACTGATGACCAGGACTTCACCAGCTGCTTCATCGAGACATTCAAGCAGTGGATGGAAAACCAGGACTGCGACGAGCCTGCCCTGTACCCGTGCTGCAGCCACTGGAGCTTCCCCTATAAGCAAGAGGTTTTCGAGCTGTGCATCAAGAGAGCCATCATGGAGCTGGAGAGGAGTACGGGGTACCATTTGGATAGCAAGACCCCGGGGCCCAGGTTTGATATCAATGATACTATCAGGGCGGTGGTGCTGGAGTTCCAGAGTACCTACCTCTTCACATTGGCTTATGAAAAGATGCACCAGTTTTATAAGGAGGTGGACTTGTGGATTGCCAATGAGCTCAGTTCTGCCCCTGAGGGCCTCAGCAATGGCTGGTTTGTCAGCAATCTGGAATTCTATGATCTCCAGGATAGCCTCTCTGATGGCACCCTCATTGCCATGGGGCTCTCCGTTGCTGTTGCATTTAGCGTCATGCTGCTTACCACTTGGAACATCGTCATAAGCCTTTACGCCATCATTTCAATCGCTGGGACCATATTTGTCACTGTCGGTTCTCTTGTCCTGCTGGGCTGGGAGCTCAACGTTTTGGAGTCTGTCACCATTTCAGTCGCGGTTGGCCTGTCTGTAGATTTCGCTGTCCATTATGGGGTTGCTTACCGCTTGGCCCCGGATGCCGACCGGGAAGGGAAGGTGATCTTCTCTCTGAGTCGCATGGGCTCTGCCATTGCCATGGCCGCGCTGACCACCTTCGTGGCCGGGGCCATGATGATGCCCTCCACGGTTCTGGCATACACCCAGCTGGGCACCTTCATGATGCTCATCATGTGCATCAGCTGGGCTTTTGCCACCTTCTTCTTCCAGTGCATGTGCCGGTGCCTTGGGCCGCAGGGTACCTGTGGTCAGATCCCTTTACCCAAAAAACTCCAGTGCAGTGCCTTCTCCCATGCCTTGTCTACCAGCCCTGGTGACAAGGGACAAAACAAAACACATACCATGAATGCTTATCATTTAGATCCCAGGGGCCAAAAATCTGAAATGGAGCATGAGTTTTATGAATTAGAACCTCTGGCATCCCACAGCTGTACTGGCTCTGAGAAGCCCTCTTATGAAGAGACCCACATCTGCTCTGAATTTTTCAACAGCCAGGCAAAGAATGCAGGGATGCCCATGCATGCAGCTTACAATAGTGAACTCAGCAAAAGCACCAAAAATGAAGCTAGCTCTGCCTTGTTACAGCCCTCTCTCGAACAGCACCCCATGTGTCACTTCTTCACTCTGAATCAGAGGTGTAGCTGCCCCAATGCCTACAAACATTTGAAATATGGCCCCCACGCTTGCCAGCAGATGGGTGACTGCTTGTGCCACCAGTGTGCTCCTACTGCGAGCGGCTTTGTGCACATCCAAAATGGCACGACACCTCTGAAGGCTGCACACCAAGCCCCCGAGGGCTTCGTGCATGCCATCCCACACATCCACCACTGTCCCTGCCTTCAGAGCAGAGGGAAACCACCTGGAATGCAGAATTCTCTACCCAGGAGTTTTTTCCTCCACCCAGTGCAGCACATCCAGGCCCAAGAAAAAATTGGTAAGACCAGCGTACACAGTCTTCAGAGCATAGAGGAGCATCTTCCAGAGATGGCAGAGCCATCACCGTTCGTCTGCAAAAGCACCGGATCTTTACAAAAAGCGTGTCGCGATCCTGAGAATAACCAAAGGGGCCTCTGTAAAAACAGAGACATCGGGAATCTTGAGGGCAGTGGAGGGGCCGAAAACCAGGACTCCAGTTTAGAGAATGAGACCCACAAGGCAGAAAGGAATGTAGAGCCAAGCCCATCACAGACTGATGTCATTGTGAACTCAGAACATTTTAATCAGAACAAACCAAAATTTATATTTAACCATAGAATGAAGGAGGCTGGTTATAGGTCCTGCCCCAACAATCCACAAAGTTGTGGCAGAATTGTGAGAGTCAAGTGCAATTCTGTGGACTGCCAAATGCCAAACCTTGAAGCCAATGTGCCTGCTGTATTAACACACTCGGAACTTTCTGGTGAAAGTTTGTTAATAAAAACACTTTAATAAATATAGTCTTAAATTCAAGTGCCTCGATCATTCCTTTAAAATGGAAGTAAAATCCAGAAGTTTAGAATGGGAGCCCAAAAATACAGAAGTAAGGATGTTTCACTTTGTTAAAAATCCTGGAATATTTTTATATTCCACATGAACAATCAACAGACTCACATATCTAATGAGTGGTGGCTAATATTTGGATTTTATATTTTCAAAAAGTACAGTTGTTTTTTAAATTTATATCTAGCTTGAAAAATAATTCTCTCTCTCTCTCCTCTCCCATAGCAGTTAGTCAGAGATGTAGAGCTCGAATTACCTAGAAATTTCCATTCTCCCAGGCAATCATATTTACCTGATATCCTTATTCTGGTTCATTTGGTTGTCGGTAATCAAGACTTTTGATTGCTTAACATAAATACTGATTTTAATAGAGCTGTTTCAGTTGGGATCCAGGAACTAAACATTAAAATTTACATTTTTGGTGAGGCCTCATTTAAAAATTAATTGCCATGCGTTTTCATAGTGCATTCCACCTGTCTGCGTGAGGACACGTCACATGAAGCCAGTGACATTTATATCCACATTGGTGTCTTTTTCCACCTTAGCCAAAGTGGACAGTTGTTCAGTTATTACATCTATTAACCCAGGAGTCATAGGCATGATCTCGTGTCAGGTGACAGTTACGTTAGTGCCACAGAAGGAAGAACAAAAACGAAGAGATGTGATCATCCAAAATAGACTTCACTTCTTAGGATAAGTCGCATGTGGACAAAGAGAGACCCAGGTCAGATGAATCCTAACCCCTTGAAGCACTCAGAGTAAGAGAACTTGTTCTGTGATGTTTTGCTTCCATCTCTGCCCCTAAGGGACATGTTCAGATGGCTGCTTTCTCCTGTGTTAAACAGAGTCTCAAGATATGCAAGGATGATTTTATTGTGCAGCTAACACCTGGAAATGCTAAGCCTTCGGGCAGCTTCTTAAATGACACTTGTGTATCTTGTGTTAGATCAGTCTGCAGTAATCGAGCTGTTGGAGCATGCTTGATGGATAATGCTTCAGATGACACAGCCCTTCTCACGGGGCATCATCTGACACTGTGCATTCCAGCCCCATACTGGGAGAATTCGATGGCATTCTGTTTCCTTCTGGGATTCTGCCTCCGGTTTGGTCCTCTGAAGAAAACTGGTGGGAATATTTCTACATACAGTGTTCTTTCCAAAAGTTCTATTAGTTATTTTCTAAAAATATTTTTCCAAATTAAATTTGCATGTTATTCTTGGGCCTGAAAAAGCTGTCAGGAGTTGGAAGGGATCTTATGGTTCACTGACTCCAACCCACCTCCCCCAAACCACATTAAGGCTGTTAAGTAGCCTTCCAGCTTTGACTTAATTACTTCAGTGACAAGGAACTCACTACATGACTACCTTGGCTGAACCCAAATCTGGTGTCCTGTAGTTTCTCTACCAATGGCCCTCATTCTGTTCTCTGAAGTGCACACAAACATCTCTGATCTTTCTGCCACATGGTATCCCTAAAGATATATGAAAACAGCAGTCATGTCCTCCCACTCACATCCCAAGTTCACTCAATTGCTCTTCCCATGATTGGGTTTTAAGCAATTAAAACACTGATTGAGCATTTATGGTCTCTTCTGGCTAAGTAAAGTTGTCCAAGTCCCTATGCAACTGTAGTACCCAAAACAGACTCTGATATAGCGCAGGAAGGAGGACCAGCCCCCAGGAGACCGGATGGTTCTCCTGTTAGTTCCCTTAGAGGTGGAAATGGCTTCTGGCTCAAACATTACAGCCGACTCTCATGCAGCTTAGAGGGAACTAAACCCACCAGGTCTGTCTCACATGTACTGCCGCTAAACTGCCTCTTCAAACCGGTGAGGTTTTTATACTGAAGTTCAAGACTCTATGTCCATTCCCAATGCACTTTCTGTTGGGTAAATCCGAGGAAGTGGGGAGGAGAAGGGAACACTTGAAAACAAGACTCACACAAGAACTAACACTAGACTCTTTATTTTCCTTCTGAAAGGTGTAACCATAAAGTTGGCTAATGAAAATTTAGTGACCCAAAACACTTTTTTTGCTGGGCATGGACACAGATTGAATTTAAGGGCGATTGGAGATGCAAACTTCTTTACAGATAGTCTGACCTGAAAGACTTTCATGTGAACTAAGTGTCATCTAATTTAGAAAATAAAAACTAGAGTGAAAGGAACTTAGTGGGAGGAGATGTCCTTCGTCTTCTCTCTGGGGCCTCGGTCTTGCTGTTGGTCATCTTCTATACCTGCTCAGGCTCCAGGAGCTGGAGGGGACTGTCTCCCCAGCTCTGCTCAGTTACCCCAAACCTTGAATGTGGCAGTAAATCCTTTTCACATTGATTTCAGCTACAGACTTTGGACTCTGAGTTGACTATATTTTTCATTCAGGAATCTTTTAAAGCATTTTAAAGAGTCTGGGACTAGAAAGGTTTTTTTTTTTTTAATTCCCCATTACTGAGCAGCAACAGATCACTATTTCTAGTTCTGTTTCACAAGGAAATTTCGTCCACTGTCCTATTCTAGAGAATTGCAAAGCAAATAAGAGGTCAAATTATACCTGGAGAAAACAGCCTTTTCACTGTGAAATATTTTCACTGTGAAATATTGGAGGGTATTTACTTATGGAGAGGATTTGCACACTGTTACTACAACAGAACATACCCTTGAGGTTTGAGTCCATGTTACCAAACTTGTTCCTGATTTCTTCCCTGCAAGGTCGCTTTTTAAATCCCTACTTGATTGAAAAGTGGAACAGGCGAAGAGCACAAAGCTTTCCGCATGGTAGAGCTGTATTGTTTGAAATGAACTACACAGCTTCATCTGCGTGTATTCATTTCTTGTGTGCAATTGCTGTGAAACGCACATCCTCCTAAAACAATGCTCTTTAAAGTTTTGCTAAGCTGTTATTATATTAAATTTCATTACAGTAATCTCTGCCCCAGCCTTCATCATTCTAAATTTTAGAACTTTCGCAATGGGTGATTTGAAGAGTAGTTTTACAGTGTGGTCTTAGAGAAGATTAGGAAATGTTCTGATTCACATTATCTCACAGGGAAACCATCTTTCCACCAGCAGTTAGGACAATTTCTGAATGAAATATGAGGAAACAATGACTTTGAAAACAGCTGTGTCTTTTCCCTGTAATAAAGACAGTCATTTTAGAAGAAAAAAAATGAAGCCTATGTTAAAAAAAAGAATCCAAAGACTCAATTGGGTTTTTTTCATAAGATTCAGACATGGCCATGAAAGTAGAGATTTGTTGAGTCATGAGGGGATTTTTTTTCTTAATACAGAAGAAACTGTTGTGTTCAAATATCCTTTATACCGTAGTGGATCTTTCCAGATTGTTTCCTGGCATTTAGTTTGTTTATCTCCAATCGTTGTTACATTAATCTACAATGTTTTTGTAAAACAGCCATTTTCGTTAATGTTTGATTTTGTATGCTAAGAAGTTATATCTTTTCATTAAACATGTAGGAAAAAAGATAAGTAATGATTCACGGTTGATTAGTAGAATCTTGTGCCTTTTGTTCTTAACAATGTTTTAACTGCCCTAATTTTGGATTTTTCATGGAAAAAAAGCATCATTTCTCATTCCATTAGCTTTAGAAACCACGCGTGCACACTCAAGAACACTCATTAAGTAACCAGGATCAACACAGTTTCTATTAACTCCCCTAATGAATCAGTTAGAACATGAACTTGGCAGCACATGCACCAACCAGGACACCGCTTACTAACTCAGAGGAGCCTGATGGGCATCTGTGGCACGTAAGTGCCTTCCTGAGATTTGGGGCATGAGAGTGCTGTTTTAAGCTTTAGGAAGGGGGCATGGAATAAAGCAATGATGTTCTGCATTCAGAGGGCATAGTACAAGAAAGGGCTCCTCCTAGCCTGGACATTCCTCAAGGGTTTTCTTTTAGGTAACTTGAGAACTGTATACTTTTAATTTTGAGTCAGAAGATAGGTTAGTGGCCCAGGTTTTGAGAGGAACTTGTAGAGTACATGGCCTTCTCTTAGGGGATTTCAGGCAACATTTGAATACCAGTCAACATCTCCACTCTTCTCACCTGACACCTAAAATGGATACACTTCTTGACTCTGTGCTTATTATTAATGACCCTTGACTCTCACAGTGAAACGAGAGTTACACTTTACATCCTCAAATCAACTGGAATAGCTAAACTTTGACGTTTACCCTCCTCATCATGTGTTTTCACATAACTTTCTGGAATGTCATCCACACCTTCCTAAAAAGTGAAGGGCAGGTTATTTTCAGTAAGAGATGTTTTTCTTTGGAATCCAGTGAGATTCTTATAAGAGCTGGCTTTAATTTGCAACAAAGTGACAATCAGAGGAAAATTTGCTCAACCTGCCTCCACTAATTGGACATTTTTGATCAGTGAACTGGACTTTAGTTTTCTACTATTTAAAGGGGAAAGGATTTGCTAAGTAAATCAATAATCTAAACAAGATTACAGACAGCCTGTTTAGCCTGCCTAAGAAAACAAATGAAAAACTACTGTAGTGTTAGTGCCTTTGCAACATAATGTGATCATTGCAAATCTCATTGATAAAGAAAGGTCCAATAGGAGTAACTCTATGCAAGACTTTACCAGATATTTTAAATACTAGTTAAGAATATTAAAAATCATCTATTTTAAATAGTTAAATGTGATCACTGTTGGATGCTCCCCAGTCCCACGAGTGCATCACTCGTCCCTTGGGAAGCTGTCTGGTCTGCAGGGTGACTTCTAGTTCTCTGCATTCTGGCAGCACTCAGGTGCTTAATTCAGTGTAGCCTTACAGGATGGGATGTGTAAAGCCACAAGCTTTATCCTCCCTCCAGCAAAATTTCTTTTCGTCCAGAGATCTAAAGAAAGGCTTTGGGAAACATGCAAATCTCTGCAACATCCGCCATCAGATTGAAGTCCACCAGGGTTTTTGTTCTTTTCTGTAG